TATATATATATATATATATATATATATATATATATATATATACGTGAAGTGCAACCTAATCAGCTTCTGATTGATGTCTTCTCTTTCTTACTAGAGTTGCCCCCTACAGGCCAACAAAAGGTTTTCAGCTCTAAGGATAATCTACTATGACTTGGATATAAACTGCTTCAGAGACTCTGGTGTCTTACTTCAATAATTTACGCCTTTTAACATATCTGTGGGGTGTCAAAATGCTAAGCAGAAGAGTTTCTGGTGGTAATCAATTTTGAAGGCAATTTTGGAGACTGAAACAAATTCACCGAATGTATGATTTTATTACCTGATTTTATTATTGTTGAATATAAATGCTGATTCCTACAAACCGTACTATCTCCCCAGTTGTCAATAAAAAAAAAGGAAATGATGGATTCCAAAGACTTTGCAAGAATGTTAATATTTTGTTAAGAAATTTCACTGAACAGATCAAGATAACGCAATCCAAAACACAGCTACCAAGGGGATACAGAAAAAAGAGAACACATAAATTATATAGATTAATTTGAATTTTAACTTTCTTTAGAGAAAATAAAAAAAAATCCCAAAAATGTTTTGCTCCCATCAGGCCTACAGCATCTTATGATGTAATTTTTAAGTGTAACATGGTCATACATGTACAGTTTCTTTTTTAGTTCATATGGTCTGAACTGTTTTGTACTGTGATGATCATAATGCGAAGGTGGGAAATACCTACTTTTTCAGATTTCTTTGAACGCAATGTGAACTTTGGCCAACAGCGCATCTATTATTTTGCTAATTCCTAATTAGAGAATTAATGTTCAGTTTTAGACACATTCAGACGTTGTATTAAGGAAGTTTAAAATAAACTTAAAAAAATAAATAAATCAGTCATACATGAACACGTAATAAAATTTGATAAAAAAATTCAGATACTTATTCTTTTTTTACAGAAGAGGGCTATCAATCTCATTAATCTGAAACTCTTTCACTTGTATTTACCATTTAGTAATAGTTAAAAAAAATCTACTCATAGTTTTTGAAAGTGTGTTACACTACACATTATATTCATATTTCAGTGCATATCAGAGTGATACACACAATTACAACTGTGCTAAGCAATGAAAATAAAATAAAAAAACACAGGTGTTTTTAACCAAGACTTAAAGTTTTCACCCTTGTGAAGTGTAAGTTTTCATATAGGCAAAATATGGCCTGGTTAAATGCTTTTTCAAATAATAATAATAATAATAATAATAAACATTTCCAGTAGCAACAATATTTATGGAGCTATTGATCAAACACCAATCCATTGACACCACTGTAGACGGCCTCTGATGTTTCTTTGTTTCTTCTCTCTATTCCGGCAGCTTTCCTTTTGGTGAAAGTGGGAGCAGTGTAAACCAACGAGTTGTCGTTTCTCTGAGGAAAGATTAGATTTATGGAAAAATATGGTGCAAGGTCAGAATTAAAAAAAGAACAAAAACGTATGTAGATAATAGTGGAACATGTTAGAATTTACCTGTTGAATTTGCTGATCATCATGACTCCCTTTACCATCTGTTTAATGTGTGACAGAGATTTTAAAGAAAAATCATGAAAAATATTTTCACACCATGTTAGATTTACTGATAGATTTTGATTTACCATTTGAACATTGACAAGTTTTCTTCATGAGGATGTAAGTGAGAATGAATATAACAATCACACTTGCAGTCAAAATGGCACATAACACAATAAATACTGCATTTGTCTTCTGCAAATCTAACATGCTGGGACCTGAAAACATAAAAAAAATTAAATAAGTTTAGCTTTTTATAACAAAAGACAAGATAGAAACATTTTCTGGTACATTTTTTGAATTCAGTCCTATTTAATTCAATGCAATATATTTTAAACGTTCATTTATTTCAGTGACTCAATTCACTAAATGAAACATAATTACACACATATTCATGTTTTTAAGCCTTTACTTAATTGTGATGATTTACGAGTGAATTGCTGCTTATGCAAGTAAAACATTGAAGTAGGAATGTTACATCCAAAAAAAAAAAAAAAAAAAAAAAAATTAAAAAAAAATGGGCTTGATTAAAAGTATGTTTAGTACTTGCTTAAAGGTTATAATTTTCAAAAGATACTTTTAATCTGACAAATGAGCTGTATTAAAAGGCATTCTAATTTATTAAAAATGACTGCGCATCTCCATAAATGTTCAAAGCTTTGGATTTACTGTACCTTCTATGTCCAGTTTGGTCCCATTTCCAAACAAAATCTCTCCACATGAGGCCACAGCACAATAGTAAGTCCCAACATCAGAAGCAGTGATGTTCTTCGAGAAGCTATAGAGACATTTTCGCCCAGAATGATCATCAGGATTGTTCTTACAGTCATTACTGTGGTTTGCAGGAGCATAAATTAAACTGGGATGAGATCGATCTGATCCAGCTAGGAACCAGAACACCCTATGATCTGTTGAACAAGTTTTATCTTGAGAGTTAAAGAGGACTGAACATTGTAGAGAAACTGGGCTTCCTGGATGAACTTGATCAGGTAGAGGGTGTTGGACGATGGCAGTGATGTTTGATTCTTTTCCTGGAAAAAAAATAAAACAGGATTTAAAAATTGTAGCTTATGTTTTTATTCTTCCTACCATATTGTAAAATAGTATTGTGCATAGTTTTACTTCTCCTTACCACTAATTCTCAGAAATTCTCCCTTTAAAAAAGTCATGTTGAGCCAATTAACTTTTAAGCAATAGTAAAGGCCAGCATCACTGTGCTGGACTTTACTAATGTGCAAGGTAAAGGTATTTGTCTCTTGTTTTGCTGTAATATGAGCAGTTTGTATAACATCATTAAAATTGAAGGAATATGTTCCTCCCAAGAATTCAGGCCAGTGTCCAGGAATAAATCTGATCCAATACAGCGTTGCATCATGATCAGAGGTCAAGCGCGGGCAGATTAGGTTCACATCTTCTCCAACAGCAACAGTTCTTGTCTCAACACCCAGATTATCTTTGCATCCTATATCAACACAACAAAACAAACAAAAAACAGAGCAGAGGAAGTCAGAAATGTGTCTTTTTTAGTAAAATCATGTGCAGAAAATGTGGAAAGAAAATGACACTTTACACTTACGTCCAACTACGACAGAGAGTATGAAGCATAAAATGATCAGCATTTTCTCATCAATCCACTTGAGGCTTCGTTAATGTGAGGACACATTGTCGTCGGGGATGTAAATGATTCACGTTATTGTAAGCATATAAAGAGGGCGGGGAGAAACTTAAGACAATTTGATTGGCCATCGGTGATGCTGCTATTTTCACCTCAGTGGAAATCATATCAACAAACTTTCCACCCAAAACACATAACACAAACATCACACCTTTGTTTTGTTTTTCATGCTCGGTTCCAATCAGTAACACAGAAAATATAAGTTACTGTAACTATGATACCACTTTAACGATAATTTTGCCCTTTATTAATGGATATTGGACATTAAGCATGGCAAAGCTTTGATTGATTGGCCTTTACTTCAGAAAGGGAACAGAAGTAAACACATTCTGTACGCTGTAGTTTTACAGTTGCCTTAATTTGTTTTCAGTAAACAAAACAAAAAAAATTTTTCTTTGAGAAAATGAACTTTCTCAAAGAAAAAAAAATTGTGTGCGTGGGTGTGTGTGTGTGTGTGTGTGTATGTATGTTCACAGGATTTTAAAGAATTAACGCCACAGCATGTTATGGATTTTCACACCGGATTAGTATTGATTCCAATAGATTGTTGGACAATGATTCATTTTGCTTTGAAAAAAAACAAAACAATGGATTGTCTTCTTATAATCAGTGGTGTCCTGTTTGAAAATCAGGCCTCAGACTGAGGCCTGATTTGGTTGACTGTTTCATGAGTCTTTGAGCATATTATCCACACTATCTTCTACTTCTATTGTTACTACGAATTACAAGATACAATGTCTGACCTCTAAGTTTAACTACAAAATTAGAGGAGAAAAGGGGCCTTTTCAGTTCTCTTGCCTATTCACATGTACATATTTATTCACACAAAAAACACACACAAAGCACATGTGCACAACAGCTG